AAAGAAAATGTTATATACATATACATATTACATCCTCCAATTATCTCTTCTACCGTATGTAACTTAATTAAACAATGTTAAATTCAAGTAATTATATGAAAGATGTTACATAATCTATGTATTTAAATTCTAAAGCCCTATAAAACTTTGATCTCACGCTTATTTATATGGAAGACAATAATAATAATAATTTGACTTTGAAATTCAATGTACATAAAATTTATTTAACATTATGTGACTTACTATATATGTATGACATGTATATAGTATTGACTTACTATATATGTATATAATAGGTCATATATATATAGTGTACCGTATATATCTTTAAGTGTATTTCACATGCCAAATATATAGTGTACCATATATATATATATATGGGATAAATATGTGATAAATGCATTGAAAGTATTGATGTACTATATATCTTTACATGCCATATATATGTGATAAATATGACATATAGTATTGACTTACTCTATGATTTTTTATATAGTGTGCCATATATATAGTGTACCATATATATACATTTATCTTTATATGTTGTATTTCACATTTTAGAATCGAGTATACTTACATGTTGCATATACACTGTCATTTTGTATATAGTGTACTATATGTATGCAATATGTAAGTTAACATGTAATTTGGAAAATGACATGATTTACCAAATAACACCATACACATATATTATTGAAATAACATGTATGTCACACATTTTACATAGTAGTATAACTTTTATTTTTTATGTCTATGATTTTGTGAATCATAAAAAATTTTAAATAGAATATCTACATGTCATTTTAAAAAATCGTTTTACTTGCATTAATAGTATAACATTATATGACTTACATAGTATTCTAATATAAGATTAGGGTTCGCATTATCTTTTAAGACCATTAATGATAATATTATCTTTTAAATAATATTATATTTTAAGACTATTAATGATAATATTTATCCTAAGGTGAAACACAATTCTTATCAGAAAATAAATATTTATCTTGAAGTGAAACACTTTGTGTTACAGAGTTTTGATGAAAGAAGGAAAAGAGGAGCAGGAGAGGTTTCTATAAATACCTCTAAGATCAATGGAAGAAGATACAAACTGATTTCCGCCTTCAAACGAAATTGCAGTAAGTTAAAAACCTCTTTCAATGCGAAATTAATATTTTGCTGTGTTCCAAATCAAGTTTACATTGGGCACTTCTCCCTCAATTAATATGTTAACCAACACAATTTTTAATGAAAAGTTTGAACGCAATTTCATGTGCATTAAAAAACAGTGACATCTCTCATATTTCTTTCTTGTTTTGATTTGCTTCTTACATCTCCTATGGCTAGCACATCTAACAGACGCAACTCAATGCCTATAAGCCCAACGGCTATGGAAACCATGTATAAGAGCACAAGGTTGCAACTCTAGGATCTGAAAAATGAGATTAAGGAGCTAACTCATAAGCTTGATGAGGACTTCGAAAGTCTTGTTGTTGAAGAAGCGTTGCTTGATGACTTTCCCCTTATGGTCTCCTACGACATTTTTTTTTTTGGATGTGAACGATGCTTGACGTACTGATGACAATAATATTTGGGAAGAATATTGGTAATACGATTAACTAAATGAACTTGATGTTGTAGGATTAGGGAGCAGTTTAGTCGTCATGTTTTAATATGTGTTCTTTATCGTTTTTGCTTGTGTTGATGTCATGTTTACCTTGAATAAAATCTATGTTTGTGTTTGTTTCAGTGGTCATGAATGTCTAGTTTTATTTTTGCTTCAACCCAATCCTATATACCTTATCTTCATTTACTTTGATTTTATATTTCATTTTAATTAGTTTATGTTTGTTTATAATGAAAATGAATTGGAAATCAATATATTGTTTAATTTTTATGTTTAAAATGAGCTCGCATAAATTATTATTTTTGTTTCTTAATGGGACAGCCAAAATGTTTTTAATTTCTGATGCTACAGTAAGAATGATTTATTTGTAATGTTTAATCTTCTGGTGATAAGATTTGGCAAATGTAACTATTACAAGTGTGTTTGACAATTGATATGGGGTGTATTGATACTGCTATCATTATACCGAGAAGGTGTTATAAGTTTTTTTGTGGTGTGTGGTGCTGGTCGAAGTCTAGGAAAATCCATTGGAGAACATGATTTTCCTAAAATTTTATTAATTTGGTTGAATGAAAATAGTGGCTATGTGACGGTGGTAGCAGTGGTTGGATGATGACAGTGATTTGGTGGTGATGGCGATGGCGATGGCAGGGGTGGCGATGGTGATTTTGGATGGCAACAGTGATTTACAATGTATTGCTTGAAATTCTATCATTCGATTAATTACAAAACAAAATACACTTTCAAAAATAACTTAAACTTAATCAAGAGAAAACTACATTGAAGAAGAGAGAGCATGCAAATATGTTTCCAACAAACAATATTGCATGGTTTAGGGAAGACTTGTTTTTGAATTAAAATAAAAAAGAGTTCGTTGAATTAAAGTTGTCCTTTTTTTGCCTATTGGAAACCATGCAATCTATGGCCAACTAGACGTTTAATTATATTAAAACATTACTGTTAAGTAGCTAAACCCTAAACCACAATAACATCAAGCAAATTAGTAACAAACAATAGCATTTTTACAAAAATAAATAAATAAATAAATAAAATTACTAAGCCACTTAACAATAACCAAATAATACCCATAACTCATAACAATTAGGAACATCAAATAATTTCACTTAAATCATTCAAACAAAAAATTCCACCCTAAAACCTTTGTCACTACTATAATCTGATCAAATTTCTCATATCAATATCAGATAACTCTTTAGTGATATTCATTGTCTGATTAATATCATTGTTCACATTCTATATCCTTTCATTCATTTTGTCACCCCTAAAATCCTCGTTAATATTTTACATATAAATATCTTGACTTATGTTCATATCAAAATAGCATACGTTTTCGTTGACAGTCGCATGCTCGTTACCTGCACTCTGTTATTCGACCTAAAGAGCAAACCAAAATGTTTTTAAAATCCGAGTCAAGTTAAAATGGTTGTCAATGATAGTAAACAATATCATACAGTGATTGTACCTGACTTGGAAGAATTGAACTGGTGTTGTTTATTGATCGACCTTGTCCTCTCCCTCTCCGATCTCTTGCTCTACTTCGACCTACTCCGCCTCCACATGCTTGCTGATTCTTGGCTACATTATTTTGGTTGAGTTTGTGTCGTGATCTGTATCAATTACTCCATGGACGTCCACGACTCTGAGTGACAAATGGATTAAAGACAGTTGTATTTCTTCCCCTGTTGTCATCATCTAATTGCCTCACAATAATGTCATCTGAATTCTCTTCTTGCACATTCATCCCATAATGCCAATTCAACAATTCTTCCTTTAAGTCTTCCAACCTCTTGTCCAGGTACTCCAACTTGTTCTTGTTGTCAAGACAACAATGATATGCTTCTTGAACTTGCTTATCCATCCTCTTATACCTTTCATACTCTTCTATCATGTACGGATACCCTCCTATGAAAAACATATAGTTGTGTCGTCGATAAACGTCTTTCCTCCACCTCCTTATCAGATAAAGCTCATTGATCATCTAATGTCTTTCACAAACAATATCTTAAAAATATGGCAACAAAGGATTCCCTTTGATTCAAATTTCCTGCAATTGCATTAAATTTTGAAAAAGGAAAGAAAAATCAAACATTAAAATTTTACTTGTCTGAATGAAACCAAATACAATGAAGCCAATACTGCACGGGAACCGTAAACCAAATTCATTTCCTGTTTCCAAGAACTACAATGAAACCAAATTTTCAAAAGCTTAAGTTATAATATGTAATTTTAGCAAATTATAGAATATTAAGGTTCCAACCTATATCCCACGTAATTTTAGTAACATTTACCATATACTAAAGTAACTACAATAAATTACTCATGTCAATAACATTTCGTTAATGTTAAGCTATAAAATATGTACCCTAAATTCATAATTCAAACATATATCACACGTAAAAGACTTTGAAAATTTTGAAAGAAAATAAAACGGGGATTATCACATGTAATACTTCTGAAAAAGAAAGAAAAAATTTATACACGAACCTACAATTACACCTCAACAGTTGTCCATCTTCTATATACTCAACTTCATAAGTGAACTCCTTGCGATACCAATCATTCACTATACATCTCTCTGTCACCTAAAACTTCTCAACACCATCTTTCTGCACTTCCTCATCGATATGCGGAGTTACATTGCAATACAACATGTGCCTTATCTTGTCCTGAACAACCTTGAACATTTCATTTGTGAATGCTCATTGAAACTGCCTGTCCCATTCAAATTCAGAAATGCACTTAATCACTATGTCTTTACTTTTAAAATCAGCATAAAATTTCATTCTCCATCTTATCATGCATAGCAATCTCGTATTGACCCACAAATTGTTTAAGCGTGCTCATCAAATTCACATACCCATCAAAATATGCATGCATGCCCTCACTCCTTTGAGTTGATAATATTCTGGCCCAGAATATATTGTTCAAATAGATTGGCATCCAATTCACCCTCTCCCTGAAAATTTTTGACAACCATTTATTTTCTTGTAGCCCATGCCTCTCCACGAACCCATTCCAATTGCTTTCGAACATCTCATATATGATAGCTTTAAACTCACGAAGTATAGTACCATAGTCTACAACACTCTTAAACTTCTCTAGGACTTTACATAGAATATGCCACAAGCAAAATCTATGAATAGTATCGGGCATGACTTCTGAGATGGCTTTCTTAATACTTTCACATTGATCAGTCATTAAGGCTTTTGGATGAATGTCTCCCATAGCCAACAAGTGAACAACCATTTAAAAGTATCAACATCCTCATGTGAAATCAAGGCACAACCTAATAGAATTGATTGTCTATGGTGGTTGATGCCCACAAATGTCGCGAATGGCATTTTGTACCGGTTCACTAAGTATGTTGTGTCGAAGCTAACAAAATCAATGAACTCCTCGTAAGCAGCTTTGGAAACCTAGAATCACTGTCAACATCAATCAAGTGAAAAAAATCTCTATCCTTTTGTTGCATCCTCAAGAATAATTGGTGGATTGACTCAACATCACCTTCACCAAGTCTCAGTTTCCTATTTTTTTCAATGAAATTATGACAATCCTTTGACAAACATATTAGATTCTCTAACCCACCAAATTGGATTTCAAGCAGCCTAATGCTTTTGCAAGGCCTGATCCCAGCAATATCATTAGCCTCTAGATTTCTCCTCACTTCAAGATTCAAATTCTTGTGTCTTGCCATGAGCCTACATATTGATGGATCCAAATCATGATTGTGATTTGTCTGAACCTTTGTAACCTGCCACTTTCCATTAGATCTTAGAACCATGCTTAACCTAGCAATACAATTTATCCTCTTCGAGGAATTCTCATAATATGTTTTCCTTCCTTTGTCACAACTAATAGTCTGATATTTTCGATCACCATTCCTCCCCTTACATGCTGATTTCTTCACAATAGCAAAGCCTTTATATTTGTGCATGCTCTTTATATGCCTTGAAGAGAGATTCCAAGCTACAACAAAACATACCTAGCTAAGGACCATGTTCAACAGTCATTTCTGTTACATCAGTCCTTGCTTCGGTATCCGAATTTACGATTTCATTACCATGGGTCACTCCATCCTCGTTCACATCATAAATCATTGAGTTGTCATCTTCATTGTTGTAGAAAATTGCTTCCAATACTACATTTCGCTCTCCGGATTCCATAGTTTCCTTCCAAATTGAACAATGAATCAGTACTTGCTTCGGTATCTGAATTTACAATTTCAATACGAAAATCAGCACTTATTAATAAACAAAACCATACCAAACGAAAAATGAACACTTAGATTGCAAAACAAACTTCCATAGTTGTCTAAGTTCTTAGTTCTTACATTACAAAACAAACTGCATGATTTCTCTTTAAATTAAACCAATTTCATTACAACTTCTCTAGCTGCTAAATGTTTACATGTCCACCATTTTGGTCTTACATTTCTTTCTTTCCTTTTTAAAGTCTCTGACTGTCAATACTAGATTTTTATTTCATATTTAACTATTAATGAAATTAAACATAAATTAACTTAATTAAACTGTATAACCCTTGAATTAGTAATTTAATTAATAATTTTTTTTTTCTCAAAGAAAAAAAATAAGGCAAAAGTGAAATTATTAATAAGAAGATGGAATATGAGATAAGTCAGAAGGGAAATTTATTATAATGGAGTTGATTATTAGCAATAATAAATATTATATTTAACCCTCCGATGTTGTAAGAATTTATAAAATTGTGTAATCAATAGAAAACAAATAAAAAAATATACAAAGACCATAGAACAAATAAACGAAATTAAAGAACATGATCCATCCTTGTTGAGCCAAAGCAATTAAATAAAAGCTAAGCTCATATATATATTATTGTTTCAATTCCGTGCACTTGCCAATTTCAAAATATTATTTCTTAAAATAAAAAAGGAATTATTGTCCATCATCCCTAACTTTCCTTCTCAAATCCTAATTGTTTTGAAAGTAAAAAGTGACCGTTACAAAATCTCTCAACACCTAAAAGTTATTCTTCACTACATATACGAAAACAAGTATTGGATAACGATAATACTCTCTTATTCTTCCTCAAAACTCTTAGGTTTTCAAATATGAACATTTTTTTTATCAGCTCTCTCTATTTTATCAATATACAGAAAACATTTTTTATCTTGTTATCAATATACATAAAACATTGATATACGGAAAACATTTTTTATATAACTCTCTCTATTTTATTCACACAACACTCAGATCATTATACAAAAAACATTTTTTATCTAATTTTCTCTTTTTTATCCACACAACATTCAGATCAATATACATAATACATTTTTTATCTAGCTCTATCTATTTTATCCACACAACATTCAGATCAATTACAGAAAACATTTTTTATCCAGCAGCTATTTTATCACAATATGAACTAGCATATCCATTTGTTGATGAAAATGAGATAAAAGGGTGTGCCTTTGTATGAAACTGTGTTGAAAATCAATGTGTTTCACTTTGGGTGCTTCTCATAAGGGATTACTCTTGCAAACGGTTTTGACGTAAGAAAAAAACATGCACAACCTCGGTCATTGTCCACATCCATGCATTTCTACCAAGCTAATCATCACATTGCTTAGACCGACTTTGTCATTGTCTATACCTTCTTTATATCCAACACCCACGGGATTATTAACTTTATTTCTTTCAATGTTCATAGCAAACACAAAAATCTCATTTCACTCATCTATTCATATACTCGTATCTCCAAAACCCGTAGCTTCATTCATCTGATTTTTTCCACCTTTTACTATAATGAGCCACTGAAGTTTACCTCTTTTTTTTTTTTTTTTTTTTTTGAGTCGTGAAGATGAAGAGCAAGATGTAGAACGGGAAAGAGTTTACATGTTTTTTTTTTAAAGAAATTTAATTATTACAATAAATTAATTCCAACTTTCCAACTTATATTCTTGGAAATATTGAAGTAATCATTACTTCTCTCTCATCCTTCTACAATTTTAATAAAGGGAATTGTTTTCTCTCTAAAAGGCAAGGTTTAGGAGCCAAAAATAAATTTATTTTACTAAGGATATATTTATAAGTTTACCTTCCCAAAAAGGTAGCAAGATTTAGGAGTCAAAAATAAATTTATTATGCTGAAGGGTAAATTTGTAAATTTACATTCCAAATAGCACCGTCCTTTACAGTTTACATTAAGCAAGTACTAGCAAAACCCCGTGGGTATATATTGAAAATTTCCCCAATCAAAAAGAAGGAGAAGACAGAAATCAGAAGGAAAATAAAAGGGGAGATAGAAAAGCCGACAGACAGAAAAGAGAATAAAGAAAGAAGGGAGAACCGAGAGATCAGAATAGAAGGAAGAAAGAAAGCTGTTTGAGAGAAAATGGAGAATAAGAGAAAGAGGTGAGTCCAAACTAGAACCCTTTTTGTTTGTTTTTTTTTTTATAAATGTTTTAATAAACTCTCTGAAATCAAAGCCATATTATTTTTGTTAAATCTTAATTTAATTTTTGGTTTGATATCAGAATATTTTGTATAATTTATGATATTACAGCATGCGATTTTCTTTTTAGTGGGTTGAGTTGGATTGAGGATAATATTGTTGCTGTGAAATTGGAAGTTAGAGAAAAGCTTTAGAAAATGGTTAGATTGTTCATTATTTTATTTATTTATGTTAATAGTCATTGATCTAATCAGGTAACGTGTGATTCATACAAGCCTTCAAACATTTTCTAGTTTAATTACAAATTTGATAAATATTAAATAATACATTCTGGTTAGTAATGGTTATCAATGAGTTGTATTCAATTAGATTTGGTTTAAATAAATTAGTAGAGTATCTAACTAAAGTGATAGTAAGGTATTAATGTGTTTTATTTAAAAATGATTCCAAGTTAGGTGTACATATTTGTTCAAAAAATTAAGCATTAATAATTGTCTTGAAAACGAAATTAGTGTATGGAACAGTGAAAGTTAAAGATAATACTTTCGGGGAGAACTATAACTTAGAGAAATAGTTGTGAAATTTACACTCTGGCCCAAGAATGTTATATCATATATTATTATTATATATTATTAGTTAAATGAGAAGACAAGAAATAGTGTACAAACCACCCTATGAAGTATCCATCCCCTAGAGATCAGTTTTAGATACAGATTACAGATATAAGCTTTCGGGATGCGTATGATAGTCTTATTACTTTGCCTGTGCAATGAGTTTCTCACCAGGTATGACAGATTTTAGTTGCTCTGCCCAAGTGATGTTAGAGCTTGTAGGGTATGACAAATTTAGTTGCTCTTCCTGTGCGATATTAGAGCTGTCGGGTATGATAGATTCTCCTTGCTCTGCCTGTGTGTGGGACGCTGACCAGGTATGACAGATATTCCCTTAAGTACTAGTTGTGGTAAGAGTTTTCATATCAGGTATCAGAGTTACAGATTGAAGATGAATTAATAAAAGAGTATAGTCAGTATTAAAATTATAGAACCAGAGATAAGTTATTAAAGAATTCAGTTAACATTACCAGTTTATAACTATGAGTCGATTGAAATTAATACAGATGCAGTTTTACTAAAAAGTATAAGATAAGAATTGTAAGTTGATAAATAATCATCTAAAATTGCAGTATCTGATATTAGTATTTTAGAATCAGACAGCAAAACTTTAGACACCAGAGATGAGCTAAATAAAAGTATATATAGTATATATTTAGTTATAAAATATCAGTTGTAATAAATAATTCAGATATGATTTTATTAATGATGATTAATAGCATAGTTAAAGAAAAATATAATTCTGAAGAATAAAAGTACTTACACTTAGGCTTAAAAGTTTTCAGAAAATGATTTTATAATATTTTCCACTCACTGGGCTTTAGCTCACTTTTTCGCCTCCCTTCCCAGGTTGTTGCAGGACTTAGCAGGTCAATACTTGAATTGTAGAAGTTGGTCAATGTGACGTACACTACAAAGAAGTTATTTGTATACTCAAGTTAGTGAGTTCATCAGTTGTCACATAGCCATCTAGTCAGTGTTTTGCAGGTCCATCCTGGATTTTTTGAGGAGGAGATCCAGACGGGTTCTGTCAGCGGTGGTTTGGATTTGTGGTTGATAGACTTTTCTGGGTTGAAGAAGAGATTGAGGGAGAGTTGACAGAAGTGAAATGACTTTGATGTGTCCATGGTTTTGCTATTAGTGCCCTTGATGTGTTGCAACAGACTTGCTCTCTGTTCATCTGTAACAAGTTGTCTTGGACCAGATTTCTACTATTAAGTTGGACCAATTTTTTTTCTTTTAAAGAGAATGTATCAATTTTGGGAGTGATTAAAGAATGTCTCAGTAAATGGATCCACGTTATCAGAATCATGAATGCACTTCGTCAAAGAACTCACTCTTTAGTCTGCATATCACTCAACACCTCCAAATTCATTCACATTTCCACAAATTCAAAGAGCAGCACACTTGTCAATGCCATGTGTGATTCTTTAAGACGAGGCTCGAATTGGGACACTCTTACCAAGCAATTCTGTTCTGTTGAGTTAAACCATTCTATTGTTGAGAAAGTCTTGCTGAAACTAAAGGACCCAGTTGATGCTAAATGCGCTTTGGGTTTCTTTCATTGGTCAGCCCAAAGGAAGCACTATCAACACAACCTTTGGTCTTATTGCGCCACAATTCATGTTATGGTCAGAGCCCGGATGCTCATTGATGCTCGTGTGTTGATTGAATCAGTTTTGAAGAAACATGTGGAGGATGATTCAAGATGCTTGGTTATTGATTCATTGTTTCGTAGTTATGAAGTTATGGAGTCAAGTCCACTTGTGTTTGATTTGTTGGTTCAGGCCTATGCTAAAATGAGAATGCTTGAGGTTGCTTTTGATGTTTGTTGCTACTTGGAAGAACATGGGTTTTCTTTTAGTTTAATAAGTTTCAATACTTTGATTCATCTTGTTACAAAATCTGATAAAAGTTGTCTAGTGTGGAGTATCTATGAGTATATGCTGCAAAAGAGAAGATACCCAAATGAAGAGACAATCAGAAGTTTAATAAGTGCATTGTGCAAGGAAGGGAAGTTGCAAACTTATGTGGACATGTTGGATAGGATTCATGGGAAGAGATGTTCTCCTTCAGTGATTGTTAATACCAGTTTGATTTTTAGGATTATAGAGGAGGGACTAACTGAAGGTGGTGTGCTACTGTTGAAGAGAATGTTACAAAGGAACATGATTCTTGATACAATTGCTTACTCATTAGTTGTTTATGCAAAGGTAAAACTTGGGAATTTGGAGTCAGCATTGGAAGGCTATGAAGAAATGCTTAAGAGAGGATTTAGTGCAAATTCTTTTGTGTATACTACATTTATAGGAGCCTATTGTAGAGAAGGGAAAATTGAAAGAGCAAATTTCTTGTTGCAAGAAATGGAAAACATGGGTTTGAAGCCATATGATGAAACCTTTAATCTTATAATCGAGGGTTGTGCAAAGGTAAATAGAGTGGAAGAAAGTTTAAGTAACTGTGAGAAAATGATGGGGAGAGGACTTCTTCCCAGCTGTTCAGCTTTCAATGAGATGATAGGAAAGTTATATGAGAGCAGGAATGCAGAACAGGCCATTGTAATGTTGGCTCCTTGTAAGACAAAGGGTTTTTACCTAATGACGTCACGTACTCTCATCTTATAGCTGGTTATGCCAAAGCACACAAGATTCAAGAAATGTTGAAGCTTTACTATGAGATGGAATCCAGACTAATTACTCCTACATTGCAGGTTTTCTCATCATTGATAAGGTGCCTTTGTCAATGTGGGAAAGTAGATAAAGCAGATAAGTATTTAAGAGTAATGAAAAGTCGATCACTAGTTCCAGGTGTGGAAATCTATGAGGCATTAATTGCTAGCCACATTCAAAAGGGTGATAAAACAACAGCTCTTCACCTTCATAATGAGCTGATTTCTAAGTGATTGAAATCTAGTTGTTCATATTTCTATGGTGCTACTACAGAAAGAGGTTAGCTTAGTTGAGGAAATCGTCTTTAGACTTACTTTATATACCACTCAATCAGGAAAGACTAATAATTATGGGAACATATAGTAATTTAAATGAAACTGTACTGCCCCAATGTCTGGCCATTACCGCTCAGAATCTTGGACTCTGCCTGTATTTAAATGTCGCATTGTCACTAAAGCTTGAGTCAATGTAATACTTTATTATTTTCAATTTGTCTATATAATGATCTCTGTACCTTCGAATTTGCAGTGTCTTTAGCACCATATCATTACATCATTTAATCAGTTTTATCAAATCAACTGTTATATATTCTGTTTTGCAATTTGTCACTCATTTGAGCATCCTTTATTTGAAACTCACATATGTATTTTGGATCCTTCTGATTTAAGTCTCTGTCTGTTGCTTTTAAATGGTTGCTAATCTCTTTATATTGATGTTTAGATGTTCTTCACATGCAGTAATGACTTTTTGACCGTCGCAACAACAGTCCTTGGAACTCTGTTTGGGATGTACCTATTGCAGTAAACCCTAAGGTAAGACACCTTACTTTGCCGTGAGCCAATTGTTCATAGAGAGATGGGCCTAGTTGCTCAGAAGATACTGTGTATATTGTCACCATGAAAATTCAATGATTTCTGTTATGGTGCAGAGTTTTGTTATGCTAGTTTTCACAACTACCTGGAATCAATATCTAGAGTCATTTTACTCTTATGGAATTCAATTTCTTGATTATGAACCAATGCTGCAGACCAGTTTGGATATCCATTTGCTTTCTGCATGTTAATGAAGACTTTAAGAAGATTATCCCTCAACAATACGGGAAAGTGGGTATGTTTCTTTTGCTATTATCCTTTTCTTTGTTGGGATTTGTAGCTGCAATTAAATGATTATTTTATTTCCTTTAATGAAGAAATATGGGCTAATTTAAGACTAGAGTTGGTTAAGGATCGGTCCCAAGCGGGCTCGGGCTTGGGCCCGTTTGGACTGGTCCCATTTGGGACCAATCGCTCATGGGCCTAGGACCAGTCCCAGGCCCATGAGCAATTTCAGGACCCGGATCATCCTGGGCTTGCAAAATTTCATTTTCCCCCCATCTGTTTTTATATTTTAGGGGCGAAATGAAATTTTGTTGGGGGGTTTATGTAATTTTCAGGGGTAGATTAGTAAGTTTTTAAAAGTTTAATTAATTTAAAAAATAAAAAAATAATAAATAGATTAATAGTTAATGGTTAATTTTAACATAAATGTAATATTTACACATTCATATTTCACAAATAAACAATTAAATAATTTTTTTTAATTAAATTATCCATCTTCATCGTCAATAATATTTAAATCATTAAAATCTATGTTCCTAAAGAGTTCGAGTAGTTCAGGATCTTCAGGGTGTTATTGTAGTGTTCTTTCTGTATGAGTCCAATCCTATAAACACATTATCACTTCAATCATCTCATCGGTTAAAGAACATCTTCTGTCTTTAACAATTCGGCCACTCGTTGAAAATGCTGACTCGGATGCAATTATAGAAACCGGCACAAATAAAATGTTACGTGCCATTTGGGCTACAATGGGGAATTAACTTTGATGCTTGTTCCACCATTGAAGCACATCTATCTCATGTTTCTCCTTCTTTGTCATGTAGGATATGTCCATTTGTAGGTAGGGATTCAACTTTTTTGGTCCATGTATGTACGAGCTGGAGCTACTACTTTCGCCATGTTTCATATACGTCCATATGCTCGATCATTGATGGAGGTCTTCATCAGGGTCTTGATCGTCTCTCCTGGACATTCCACTTACACTTCTATTGTACTTGTTTTGATATAAAGAAAAAATGTTTTCTAATTTTTGCTTAAAGTCAGTCAAATAAGACGTATAATCATGTCCTAAATGTTGGCATATCTCAGTAATTATATATTTAACTACATGTAATTTAAACCTAGGATCTACAAAAAAGCCTAATCCATATAAGAATGGAATATCTAACCAATATTTCTCATATTTTTCTTTTATGTTCAAAACAATTTCCATTAAAACGTTATTATATTTATATTTAGCAAAAGTTTTAGAAATTTGAAGTAAAATATCAACGCTAAATTAGTACTCGGATAATAAATACTACTTAATATATTAGTGGAATCATAAAAAATTATAAGAAACGAATTAAAAAGTTCACAAACCGCCCAATCATAGTTGACAACTTCTTCTGGATGGTTCTTCCAGTTGACGAAATTTGTAATTTGTCTTGCGATTGGCAAAGCTTTTTCCAACATCAAATAGGTGGAATTCAAACGGATAGGCATGTTCATACATAACTTCAAAGGTCGAACCGGTAAGTCCTCTTGCCTATAATATTTGACGTACTCCGACCATCTTTTGTTGTTATCGCCGACGATAAATCTAATAGTCGTGCGCACCCTCTCCATCTTCGAATGTATAGCATCTAAACCTGCTTTAATAATTAAATTGATGATGTGGTAAGCACATCTTTGGTGAAAAAATTTGCCTTCACCACGCAAATCTAATCTCTTTTCAAATAAAGAGATTGTCGCGGTGTTAGTAGTTGCATTATCAAGCGTTAGCGTTACAACTCTATCAGTTAATACATATTCTTGCAAAACTTCAAGAATTTTAAAATAAATAGTATTAGCACTATGTTTTTCATATAATGGTTTAAAATCTATCAATTTTTGCTGTAAACCCCAACTATGATCTAAGAAATGTATTGTGATAGTTAAAAAATCTGTTTTTGATCTAGAAGCCAATATGTTTGATGTAAGTGCAATAGATATATTCCTAAAATTTTGAAATTCGTTTTTAAGTTTTTTATTTATTTTGTTCTAAAGTTTTAGTATATCTCTTCAACTTGTACTTCTACTAACAGGGGTATATGCTAAACAAAATGCAATTTTAATCAGGTGAATAAAATAAGGATTTTCAAATAAACAAATAGGAAAGTTCGTAGTAACTATGAATCTTGCTATTTCCTCTCGTGCAACATGTGCATTGTAATGTCATGTTGAGAGAGTTGAGGATTATAGATTAAAATTAAGTTGAGTTTGAATTTACCTATCTAATTCGGTTGAAGATGTACCGGACAGTTGCATTATTTGGGGTGCTTCTTCTCCAAGTGTCGTCGCATCGTTGAAGTCCCCTTCTCAGTACCTATAATGGTTTCACATAAATTACATACTCCACACGATTCTTCCTCATCTCCATTTGTCTTTGGCCATTTTGATTTGGTGAAGTGTTTGCCATACATTAGACACGACCCTCTTTGACGGTTGGAGGGGTTGGACTATGCCCGTGCCCGTTGAGTCGCAACTTGCTTGTGTTTGGCTGCACCTCGTCCCAACCGAATGTGATTGTTGAATTACAGTCGTTGCCTTTGGAGGAAATTGTGAAAATTGATTGAACCCTTCCATTTATTCGGTGGATTGAACATAAAACTCATTTGGGGATGATCCTTTGAATACATCATTTCGAGAATACATTATGAATTTATGATAAAATAATAAATAATTAAAATGAAAAAAATAAATAATAATATGAATAAGAGATTATATTGAAAAATAGAAAAAATTGAATAATATAAATAAATAAATTATAATATGAATAAATTATAAATATAAATTGAATGAGAATTTGATTAGAGATTTTGAGTAGAGAGTAGAGAGATTAAGTGCTGTGAAAAAAAAAAATGAGAAATTTAAGGGATATTTATAGTGTAACATTTTGGGGGGGGGGGGGGGGGAGGGAGAGGGGGTGAGGGGAGGAATGGAAAATAAACCTTTCTCTGCCAACGGTTATTAAATGTAAATTTTGTGGAAAATAAACCTTTCTCTGCCAACGGTTATTAAATGTAAATTTTGTAAAATTTCATTTTAACCCCTATAATTTTTGTCTATTTTAAACTTATAGGAGGTTTTAGTAATTGTTTAGGTGGTTAAAAAAAATAAACCAAAAGGGTTAGGGCTCGAAGAAGGCCCAACAGAGGGATCGAGCCCTCCTCTTTAGGCCTGGTCTGGTTTTGAGAGGATTGATCCTAGCAGGCCTAGTCCAAAAACCGGACTAGGCCAGTGGAGTTGGGCTCGGTCCCTCCACTAGGCCCAAACCCTTTTGATTTATTTTTTTTAGCCCCCTAGACAATTACATAAAGCTCATTGTAAATTTTGAAATAGATAAAAATTATAGGGGTAAAAAAAAATTTTACAAAATTTAAAATTTAAAATTTAAAAAAATTGCATTTAATAATCGTTGGCTTCTGCCAATGGTAGATAAAGGTTTATTTTAATTTTGAAAATGAATAGTAAATGCTTTTGAAATAATAAATGTTTTTGTAAATCATTATCCCACCAATTATTAAGTATTCCCATAAATCTTGAGACTAATGTTTTTGCTATTTGATGATCAGTGTTATCATAAGATTTATAAGCTAATGCTGACTTTGAATAGTGTTTTGCTACAGTAACTATATTCATGCTTTTGTAAAAAGGTCATCAAGCAATAACACGTTTTCTTCATCAAATTTCCTGTAAGTTTCCTTCAGTATTTTCATCATTACTTTTACTATTCATCTCATTCTTACTTTTCATACTTTTGAATACTTGTTATCATTCATTGAAAATACTGAAGGAAACTTACAAGAAATTTGATGAATAAAACGTGTTATTGCTTGATGACTGTTTTACAAAGTATTTTCAAAGGACTAAAATTTTTGCTCTCTCACTTTTTTGTGCTCTTGTTTTCTCTCTTTTTTGCATTCTGATTTTTTCATTCTAAGTGATACATATTTATACTACAAAAAAGCGGACTTCAAATACATTTGAATCCTTCTTCATTATTACAATATAGAATAAAACATAAAGAAGTTGATAAGTTGATGAGCTGACTTGGATACGTGTCTGGAATTATTGAGGACTTGTCTTGATATTGGTCGACAAAATGATATTGTTGATAAGGGGAATCTTGAAAAATCTTGGATATCCACCGAAAGTATTGAACATGTGATAAAGCTGGTGCTGATAACATTAGGAATTAAAAACTACACAAATTAACATCCATTACCATAGTTACTGAAGCAAAACACTGTTCAAAATTACTGTTATAGTCACTGTTCATTACTGTTTACTGATATTGTTCACACTATAGCAATTTACTGTTTATTCGTAGCACTATTCATTTCTTGGTTGAATTAAGGGCTAGATAAATCTAGAAGGTTTTAATATAGAAGAACTCTAGAATTGATTCTAGGTTGCGCTTGGTCAGCCTAGAGGGTGCACTTGGTCAGCCTAGAGGGTGCACTTGGTCAGCTTGTAACCGTTGCTCAGCCATTTTAGGTGGTGCCGTAATCTAGGAGAGAAACTGGAACTCTTAGGTTAAAATTATTTTAGAAATGTCTAATTTCTTAAGGAGATTAGGAAGGAGCAGTAAGCGAGATGATAGCAGTAACAATAACGCTATTAGAATTAACAATCAACACCAAAACACAAACAATAATCAAGAATTAATGAAATATATTAACACTCAAGAGATTAATATGGCAAATATCGATCAACACTTACATAATTAGAACATACCACTAGTTAAAAAAGACACAATATATCAAATAGGTAGTTTTGAATTTATGTCAGATTACTCTATTAAAACAACAAAAGACACAATAATGATAACCGAAGAGAGGGTTGAAGAAATTCAATTTTTTTTTGAAGAAGCAATACATAAACGCAAACAAAATAATTATAAATTTTTACACATAGGATTAGTACAAGTAGAAGTAAAACCATTATTTAGACTAGGACAACATTCCAATATTAGTAATGTTAAGAGATTCAAGAAATTAAAACTTCAATAACTCTTTATTAGCAGTATTAAATTCTAATTTAGAAAGTGATCCAGTTTATTTTGATTGTTATCCAAACTTTACAGTAGGATTATATGATCCAACAATACTGTCTGCATTAACTATCAACTTAAAAGCTTCTAATCTTACTTATTAAGATAAAGCCCAACCAGTAGCATTAATATATAAGAGTTCTTACAAAGTTATAAATACCACAATTCGTCCAAAAGCCATTAGGATGTCTCCACCAGAACACACAGTTATTATGAAAGCCGATAAAACAAAACATAAAACTTTTACACCAAAAAGATTAGCTTGGGATAAAATTATTAAACAAATAAATTGGAAATTAGAAAAAGTATGCCCTCCAAAACCTTTACATGATCAAAATGAATCTGAAATACAACAAATAATACAAGAACCAAATTGTACAATAAGATTAAAATTTAGAGAAACTCCCTTAGAACAAAATCAACCCATAATTACTAATAAAAATCATCACAACCCTAGGATTGAAGAAATCACTACACTTAGGCCTTCATCAGCAAGTTCAACAAGTAAATTAGTATGAGTAAATTATTCCCCTCCTGTACCAAAACCAGTATATGAAAACACATTAAGTCCACCTAGTTCACTAATATCGGAAGTATTAGGAAATTATAATCAAATTAACACAATAACTAAACCTTTTGAAATTAACAAAGAATTATGAAAACAAGAAATCTTACAAAACTATAATAAAGAAAAAAGACAAATTTTCTTTACAACATTTAAACCAGAAGAACAAAATACTCTAAGATCTGAATGGTAAAATACACAAGTAAAATTAAAACAAAATATTTATTTCTTTAATTGGTTAGAAAATATTATCAAAATTTAAGTGAAAAAAAAAAAACTATTTTTGTAACCATTAATACAACAAAAAATTGGCAAACATCAACAAATAAAACTATTACATCTGTACATTCACCTTTAGAAGAAATTAAAATAGAACATTAACAAG